GGGGGGTAATAGGACCTTAGTAAAGGTTAGGTGTGTCTCAGGGATTTTGGGCATAGTCTGGGGGGTACTTATGCATTTTCCCTTTGCTATATGTGAAAGTTGCTCTTAGATTTTTCATTTCTCTTTTGTTATTAATAATCTATTATTTATTTGATATTCCAAAAATCATGAATGTCCCTTTATATATCTTTGTTATTAATTTTCTATTATTTATTTAATATTTTAAAAGAACCCTGAATGTCGTTTTATATTTTTCTACTATATTTTCTTTATTAATTTGGTTTCAAGAAGCTCAAAAGTCATGTTTTTTAAACAATTAAGGTGGTATTTATTTGTTTTTAGTTTTATTTGCAGCCTCTATTATTTAATTACAATATCACCACACTACACGTTTTTAACAATTGAAGGGTATTGTGAGTGTTATATATTTTTATCAAGTTAATTAGACTTTATATATTTTTCTTTTCTTCTGGATTTTTTCTGAATCAAATTATATATTGAATTATGATTTTGATTTGGGTATTAGCTGAAATATGGGTGTAATATTTTTGCGGTGATTTCTTTTTTCTTATGGATATTTTTTATTTTTAATAGCTGATAATTTTCTTGAGCGTTTTTAGTGATAATATATTGTATTGAGTAAAGAGGATCATATGCAGTCATCAACCTAGGGGAAAACAATAACAAAATTTACAGGTGGAAATTTCAAGTATTTTTCTTTTGAGTATTTTTTGTGATTTATTTATCAGGATTTTAGTTGCTTAATTGATTTTCGTTTGTTAAATTATTGAACTTGATAAAAATATACAATGTGTTTGTAGGATCATCATCCCAATTATATGTAAGTGGATTGTATTTGCAAGAATGAAAAGTTATCACTCAAGATCATTTTCATTATATACATTTGATGTTGTATCATGTATGATGAGAAGCAAAACTATAGAATTATATGGGGTATTGATTCTTATAATCTTGAAAAATATATTAATTAGTTATAGTTTATTGTGATTATTGGGATAAGTCATATAAAAAATCATTTTATGTTTTATATTATAAAGAGAAAACAAAGTGTTAATCAACCAAGAGTCTTTTTCTGCCTCTATTCTTAAAATAGCCTTCAATAACATCTACTTTTATTAGGTTGCTTATTGATATGTTCAATCCAATTTTATATATTAGTTGTTTGATTTATGAGCTATCAATTTGTAAACATGATGAATCGAAAATGAATTATCATCGTCTTCATTAGTGTGAAGCAATGTGAATTAAAAGGCTTTATTCATATATATATATATATATATAATATGTGCTTTGTATTTTGACCATTTTGGAGATCTTACGCATTCGGTTTTTCGGTAAGGTTTTGCACTATTCGGTTTGAATTTTTCGGTTTTTTGTTTTGTAAAAATGTAACCCAATTCGATCCAAAATAAATTTGGTTTGGTTTGGTTTTCCTCTATTCAGATCAACTTTTTTCGGTTTGGTTATTCGGTTATGTCAATAATTAATAATATAACCAAAGTAATAATATTTAATCCCTTAAATATACTTTCTAATATAAATCACAAGTAAGACTTAAAACACAATACTTATAAGTATACCTATTATAGATGTAATTCAAACATAAAATATAAACGTAATCATGAAAGACAATTACCAAAAAGGGACAAAAGTGGTTAACTCCAACTTAATTCTAAACCTAAACATTATATATATATATATAATTTGTTTTTTTTTTTTTTTGGTTTTTATTTTTTAAAACCCGAAACCAAACCAAAAAACCAAATAAAGTAATTTATTAATCCAAAACCAATTCAAAAAACCAAAAAATCAATCCAAATAAAAATTCGGTTTGTTTTGGTTTGGTTATTCGGTTTAATTCGAATAGTGCACACCCCGACATTATATCAATGTCAAGTGTATGACTCTTGTGTTGTCATACAATTAACTAATTTGTTGTCAACCCATTTGGATTATAAAATTTAGAGCTAGTGTGTAATTTTAGCGAATGGATAAACATATTATTTTTGTTACTATGATATCATTTTACGTTTTTGGTATTTGTTCGTATGTTCATGTATTTGAAATTTTCGTTAGAGACATTTACATGAATTCATTAATTTTTAATTCAACAATTCATCGACATATTTAGACCATTAGAGACTATACTGTCATAGTTGACTTCACATATTTTTTGTTTCATGAAAAATGTCATTTCCCACTTTTATGTAATTTATTTAATGAATAAAATACAAATATAAAATTAATATTGTTAATTTTAAAATTTTCTATTTCATAACTTAATTTTTTAAATATATCAAAGTTCTATAATAGTGTTAAGGAACAAACGTGCAACGCACGTTTCCATAGACTAGTTTCAAATAAACAGGGCCCACAATTTGTTAAGTAAAGTTTCATTTTATGTCTTTCTATTTACATTATTTTTATTCATTTAATTTATTTTCGATTAAGAAATGTTTGTCATAAGGTTAGTTTTAATGGATATCAATAAAATCGGTATAATGTTTCAAAGTTAAACTTTTATCTGAGTCAATATCTTATTAGGATTGGTAAGATAATTCCTAGCCCCCTTTACTTGTACTTACTCTTATTAAAAAAAAAAAAACTCTTATTAATCACTCCGTCTAGTGGTAAATTTGCTAAAAAAAAAATAGGTGATTTTTAGTTCCTTTTGCCAGCAAGATGAATAACTAAAAAAAGAAGAGAAAATTCAACATCATAATTCAATGCTTCTGATAGCAAAACATATGTATGTTCATTTCTTTTGACAACTCTGATTCTAATTCACACAACTCCAGCTCCTAACTCCGACTCCAGTGGAATTTGATTCCTGGAAATAGTGCCCTTTGCTCTGTTAGCTTTGAGACGTGAGACGGCTTACTAATAGTTCCAATGCTCATCTGCAATTGGATTTTGGACAGGCTACTCATTAGCAAATGTTAAGATGATGTGATTTTATTTCATAATGAAACGTGGTATATATTCTAGTGTAAGAGAAATGTCGTGTCACCTTTATTAATATATAAGAGAACGGATTATTGCATACCCAAGTTCTTTCGCAAATTTCTTTCTCAGGCCAAGACTCTAGTTGTTCTGTTACAAACAGAAGAAACATGTGTCCTTCATAGGCAGAGTTACCGATGTTGTTCTTAGAGTACCGTGATCCCAGTTTGCACTGCAAAAGTATCAAAAACCAAAAGAGTTAAACCACTTATAATAAGTAATCGAGATATAGACGCTATTTATTACTTTTATAAAGATTGAAGTCAACAAGCTAAACAGCAGACAGTAAGATAATATTCCTAATCACAATGATTTCACAACATCTTATATTTCACATTTTCCTTCAAAAGAATTACACGAGAACTGAAAGAGATCACGAGGGATATGAACCTCAACTTCACCCCCAGTCTCACACTGTGCTGCACTTTGATTGTTTTATCTTAATTATTCCCAACTTCCCTGCCATAACAAGAGAGGTATTTACATTAAAAACAGATTTCTGAGAGAGCAACAAAATCAAAAACATACAACAAAGTATCGCGATACTCAGAAAAAGCAGAATACTGGCTTTGCAGTAAATGAATACAGATTGAACCTCCATGTTTTACTTGCTACAAATATGATAATGTACCCCGGAAAAAGTGTATTGCTAAAGTTAGAGCATGATCAAATACCTTGTAATGCTTTCAGAGTATTCGACAGATTCTGGTCACAGAGTCATGGTGTTTATACAACAAACGAAGTCCACACTTCTTCACTTCTTCAGGAAGAGTTAACTTAATGCACCCATAGTCATTTGGTGTTTTTCCATTTGCCTTCAATTTATCCAATAAGCCAGTGAGAGGTACCAAGAAAAAATGAGTAGCAGGTATAAAACGATATTTTGAACGGCTGGATAAGGCAAGTTTCTGGGCGATACACGTCACCGGCCTCCCATGATAACAAAACAAGTGAGCTATGCCGTCAATAAATTGACCAGAGAAACATACAGCAAATCACAAGAAGTTCTCACTTACATACCAATTTTTAGGCAATTTGACAAATATACTTGTACCATCTTCCAGATGGTGGAACCATCTTGGGATATTATCCTCCCCAGTGGTGAACACTCTTAATGATAAGGAATCTGAAGTACATATGTCATGCTGCAATGACGATATATTCTGAAACAACGAATTACAAATCGAATCATTGCTCCAATCTGCATGTATTGTGTCTAATTGCTGTGGAAATTCTGGTAGCTGTGTAAGCCTCTTGCAATCTGACAAATTCAACAATCGAAGAGCACCAAGTTCGGATATGCTTTGAGGCAAATGCTCAAAATTATTTCCAAAGAGTTTCAACTCTTCCAAAGAGGATAAGGATCCAATGTCTTCCGGAAGTCCTCCATCTATTAAATTGCAGTAACTGAGATCCAGTTCTTTCAATGAGCATAACCCTTCATCCACCTGAGGGAAAAAAAAGTACACTCCATCTACTCGTTTTGCAAAATTCAAGAATTTAAGCTTGTTCAAGCGGACGATGGAAGATGGAGGTCGTGAGATTAGAGTAGAGTGGGCATCAAGGAGCTTCAAGTTTTCTAAATCGCCTATCTCTTCCGGCAATCTTTCAAGTTTTACTCAGAAGGACACATCTATCCTCACCAAACCTTTCAACTTACAAATGCTGCTTGGAAGAGATACAAGGTTTTTTAAACCAAGCAAATGTAGGTCTGTAAGATGAGCTTGGGGATGAATGATCGATAATGGCAGTTCCCTTATCCCAGAGTATGACATCGTAATCTGTAACTCAGGCTTCATTATTCCGAGGATTTCTGGAAATTTCTCTAAACAATAGCAGTAACCTAGATTCAGAGACCGAAGAGATTCCACATTAACAGATGGAAACCTCTTAAGGCTTACACAATTATTCAAATTTAACTTAATGAGTTTTATGCAACACTCCAGGGAATTTTGAACCTCTTCAAGACTCCTACATTCGCTTAGATCCAAATACTCTAAATTTGGCATCGCCTTGAAATCTGGTGTTCTCTTCAGGTTTTTGGAGCCCCTTAGATCTAGAAACCGTAGAGACCGCAATTGATGCTATTCAAAACACATAAAGAATGAGTAAAGTAGTAAACGACATACTCATCATGTGAAATTAGAAATTGTTTATTTACTTTATATGGAAATTACATGCTCAGAAACTAGATAAAAATCATGTTATTATACATAAAAGGTAAAATAATAACATGCTTAGCATGTTATTATTTGGTGTACATTTGAATATTGCAATTGTACTCTTAAATGTCCCCTATATTTGACCATCTCCCTCTGGACGTTGATGTGGAAAAGAGTGTGAAAACACCTTTAATTTTTAGGTGCGTGAGGATAAAGAAAATAGAAAAATTAGCTTCCAAGTGGGATATTTTGATGTAAACTATTTATTCTCGCTTCTTCTTGATAGAATGCACATTTTATCAAGAACAATGGCCAAAAAACTTAGCTAGAAAACAATGGCCGATGAGAAAAGTAGTGCCAACATATATTTCTTTTTGTTTCTTCTTTAGATGCAGAGGTTGGAAATGCAATTCATAGAGATTAATAATATGAGAACAACCCAAAATAATGTAAACTATCTACATTAATTTGATTTTATGACTCATTTTATTTAAACACAAGAATTATGATTTTAGGACAAGATAAAATATAAAGCATCTCAAACAGAACGGTACCTTTGTTTCATTCCATAAATAATGCAATGAACTCCATCGGAGATCAACATGAACGAGCCCTTTGGGATTAAAATTTTCTGGCAATAACTGCCAAGGATAATCATGCCAGACAAACCAACGCAAGTTGTTGGAAAGGTACTCAATGGAGCCATCATGGCAATTGGAGTCTGAGGAGGTCGTCTTATTTTTTTCGTACCTATTACGTATGCATAATATCCTAAGCATTTTCATACTTTTCATTGCCTCTTTATTAAAGCTTAGTTCTTCAAAATAAGTAAACCAGATTGCTTCCACTGCCATGGTCCCCTAGTAAAAAGATCATCAGACAAATAATTATAACTTCAGATGTAATGTAAATTGCGCAAACCAATATCACTATTTTTCTTACTCCTTGCTATGACTAAAATGACATATATACCTGCAAGAATGCTCTCTCTGCCCCTAATTACTTGTCCAATTTTTCATTTTTACTTGTCCATTTTGACAAATCAAGAAATGACAAATTTTTTTTTACATATTATACTCTCAATTAATTAATTTTGAAAAAGGTAGAACTTCTTGAAAATTCTTAAATTTTTAATTCATCCACTTCATAATTAATAGGGGTAAAATGGTAAACTCACTATGTCAATCATTGTTTTCTTAATAGGTGTGTCAATTCAAAAGTGGACAAGTAATATTCTATATGCTTTTTGGAATATGAAAACTAAAATTGAATATTAATTATTGCATTATTTAACCTACTTACCATATTGTTGTCTATCACTTCTTTAAAATCTTTAACATTCCATAATCTGCTATATTCTCCCGGATGCTTTTGCATTTGCACTATACATTTACCCATATCTTGTATTAAGTCATGCATTTCAATCTCATTATTTTCAGAGATGATCACAAGAGATTTGCTAACTAGAACACGCAATCCAATTTTTGGTCCAGAATAATAGCTCTCAAGAACTTGCATTATAACATATTCAAGTCATTAGTAACAATAATATGCTTCATTTTATCATCTGTTGAATAAAATTATGACTTATATTTTCTTTCCTCGTAAATTTTATTTTAAATTGTTGAGGTTAAGATTCTTCGCGTAAGGTTAATTTGAAGAAAAAGTAACGGAGAGAGAACCAACAGAAAAAGTTGCTAAATGATTTAATTTCTCGAGGCATAGATTCTGTTAATATAAACCTAATCTATTTGTATTAAAAAATGGACAAAGACCAAACTTGATAAGTTTTTGAATACTTAAAGGACTAAAATCGGTAAGTTTATAGTTAAGGGACTAAAATCGATAAGTATATAGTTAAGGGACCAAAACTGACAAGTTTTTGAATAGTTGAAAGACTAAATCCGTTAAGTGTATAGTTCAGGAACCATTTTAGACCTACTCCTATAGTTGAGGGACTATTTATGTCATTTTCTCATCTAAGTCTCTTTATTTTATATACGGTTTCATATAGCTTTATTGATAAGGTCGCTTAGCTCATTTTATGCCCTTGTGTGTAAATTCTTAAATGATAGAAAGTAGATTATGGTTGGCGAATGAGAGCTTCTTTTTTTTTTAGTTTGATATTTGCCTTTATTTGAATGTTATATTCATAAGCATATCTTTACTTTTTGTTGCCTGTTGCTGCTAGTGTATATCATGAATCTCTAAAATTGATTTTTTCTCTCTTATCATATGCTACTGCCTCATTAAGATGCATACCATTCTCCTGCTTAAGATCATTTATAATGTGGAGTTTAATATTATTTTTTTTTTGTTTTCTTTTTTCTATGTTGATAATAGTCAATACAGTAGTACTCTCATATACTACCTCTTATTAATTAGCAACCATTAATTATGCCTCTCTAGTATAATCTAGTTTTCTTTCCTTTATGCACATATCGTCCAATGTGTTTGATACAAATGTCGCAAGTTAAATATTCATAGCATTATCATTATGAACATAGGTTGAGCTATCTGTCAATTGTATGCCTGCTTGAATTTTTGTATCATTAACTCCGCTAATTATTTTTAATATTTTATAGTGAGTTGTTAATTTGTATTTACTTTTGTTCGCATGTGAAATCTGTCCGAGTTCTACATGAACTCCTGTCTTCCCTCTTGAATCTCCTGATTGGGCCAAAGACCCAATTCCGCCTATTATCGAGTCTGCCGGGGCATTGGAATTGAAGAACAGGGCTGGAAAATTAAATTTGCAGGAATCGAAGTTGAGATATCGAAATATACAACAATATACACTAAGTGTATCTGCTTTATATCCTGGCAGAATTGGGCCTAAAAGCCCACCCTTTCTTTGAGTTATATTTTGTTACTTTGGGCCTAAGCCTCCTTTGTCTTAATTATTATTATTTGTTAGTTTAGAATAGGTGCAAGATTGGGCCTTAGGCCCCAAGAAAAAGTCAATTCCAAAATTAGTCTAGGACAGGTGTAAATTGGGCCTTTGGCCCAAAATGAAATTAGCCCAAATACAGGACTAGGCGAACAGAAAAATCAGACTTAGGCCTAAAACTCACTCTTTATTTTATCTGTTTCATTTTTGTTTAATTGTTTATTTGCTAGTCAATTTTAAGGTTTTCCTAATTTGATTTCCTCAAAAGAAAGTCATTTCGAAATTTTTTAAAGATAAAATAATTTTACTTATTTCACTACTTAAATTACTTTGAAAAGTATATTATCTAAGTAAACCCCCTTATGCTATTTTCCTTTCTCCTAAAAAAAATATTTTCAAGTCTCAAGTTTGCATATTTCATAAACTTGTCAAGCATGCCTTTTGTTAGTCAAATATTTTAATTACTAGATAACCGCATGTTAGCGGGATTTTCGGGTGCTTTCAAACCCTTTCCGAGATGCTAATATAAACCCCGAACCTCCTTTTAATATTTTCATTAGATTTTTGTTTTAATCTTTTGAAAAAATAGTTTTCTTAATTTTACTTCAAAAATTAAGTGGCGATTCTGAAATCAGTCGTTATTATTTTTTAAATAAACTAACCACATTTACTCATGCGGATCAAATAAGGTGTAATTTATCCTAGATACATTGTAATCAAGTGTGATTCACATGTATTTGAGATATATTAATGTTTTCACTTGCCTCTCTCCCCATGTAGCTGTATTTCAAAATGTATAAGGAATCAAGATATATGTATCTAATAACAAAAGATCATTGACAAAATCAAGTTGTGTTGTCGGTAACAAAGCAATTACCCTTCTTTTTTCTTTGCACCTTTATCTGCTTGTGCTTTTAGTAGTCCATATTATTACTTTTGAATATTACACAATCCATATAGTAAGGCATGTGTGGTAAAGCACATGCATGGGCTCCCACACCTTAATTCCCTGCATTTATATTTGATTGTGAATTGAGTTGACGAATTCCAACATAAATTGAGAAAAGTTCACCAAACTCCAGCTTCAGTAATAAATGGAGTTAAATACATTTGGGATGCGTTTAGTAGAGTAAATATACACGTACTGTTGGTGTATTATGCATTTTATTAAAATAAAATATTAAGTGCATAAGTTAGTAGGTATAAATTATGGTAAAAGATGACTATTGGTTCTTGTAACTTATATGGCCATTAGTTCTTGTAACTCTCATGGTCATTAGTTTCTTGTAACTCATATGGCCACTAGTTTCTTGTAACTCATGTATATCACTACCCACTTTACTACCCCTCATTCTACCTATTGATTATATGAAAGACTTCTTCACCTATAAATAGTGGTGTTTCTTCCTTTGTGATGTATCTCAAAAAGATGAGAAGTGTGAAACAATATTGTAATGTGTAGTAGTGAAAGAGAGAGTTGAGACATATAAAAATATTCTAAGTCTTCAACTATATTCACTATATTCACTATATACAAAATAGAGTATTTATATGTTGAAGGAAGGTGTTCTTTTGTGGAGCTTTGGACTCTTCAACTAATCCGGAGTTGCTTGAGTTGTACACGTTGTTGGGATGTTGTATCCTGGAGGGGACAAGTCAAGAGTGATACTGTTGGATCAGTGTAGACTATACCACAATGGGCTTGAATCTCCTTAACGAGAGCGAGATATCCGCGCCTCAGCCTAAAGATTTGTTTATTCATTTTTGTCATTTTATTTTGGGAAAATTGTATATATTAGCAAACTATTAATTCAATTAAATGCTATAAATATACTTTGATTTAATTGTACCCAATAGCAAACTATTGCTATTTTCGCCACTCTTCCTGGTGGAATCTCACTCGCCACTCTCGTTTGGTGGTAGTCTCGCTCGCCTCTCTCGTTTTTATACAAACACAAATGTATAAAATGTGTTTGTGTTTGTATAAAGCGAGAGGAAATTGTATATATACATATATTTTCGTTCCCCTCTCTCCCCTCTCCAAGATCTCGCTCTCCACTCTCCCAAATCTCGTTCGCCACCCTTGCCTCTCTCGCTTATACAAACAGAAA